GGGATAGGTTTGAGTTGTGATTCATCTAACATTGAGTAACCCAGCAACCGCAATTGCGAAATTCTAATTTTTGATGAAATCGGAGTGTGCGCCTCAAAACGCAACTTTTCGCGCCAAAAACTTTTCGCGGCACACTGATGCGCTGCGGCACAGTAGTTGGGAACAACTGGTTTAGTTCAAAATCAATAATTCATCAAAGTCAGAATGAAATCAGGTGAAAATATAGCTTTCTGAGAGTCGGTTGCTGCAGATGTCAAGAATTTCTCACTCGACTCTGATTGTTTGAAAATATCGGCGCTCCAGAAGTATGTGTACCAATATTATTTTATTCATCTATTTTACATCAAGTTGTGTAAGTGGTCACTCAAATATATAGGAAGGATATATTATCACTTGGCTTACACAGACAGTCCCCAAACTTATAATAGAACTAAAATAAGGAAAATCGGAAGAAAGTTATGGTCTAACCCTAACCTGGTAAACACACTACGGGAGCACCGAAAATTTTCCAACTTTTTAAAAAACTCTGTATTTATACCACTGAAGTACCACTGACTGACTGATAAAGCCCCCAACATGATATTTTCTGTTTTAAGATTTGATTGAAGTTCAAGAAATAAATAACAATTTGGTAGAAAAATTGAATGAACAAAAGAAAATAAACGATGATATGAAGAAAGGTAAAGCAAATTAAATATTGTTATTGCGGAAAAATTATGATGCATCAAGTTACAACCATGACAAGTGCGATTTTTGATCTGCTGTTTTAAAATGCATTACATAAATTAGGGGTGTGCTGCTTTATATATCCTTGCGCCATATAACCAACCGCAGACATTTAGCATGTTTTATTTTTCCTGTACACAACGTACTGAAGCAAGCAACCACAATAAAAAAAATGTATTACGTCACAATATAATGTTGTAAACAAGCGTTAAGAAAGCCTGCAGCAACGAAATATATTAGAAACAGCCACGGCAAGAGAGGAACAGTAATTCGAATAGAAAATTTACAAAAACAATTACGTTAATTTTCCAAAAGATTGTAAGAACTATTTTAAGGCTGTTTAGGAATAGTACATGTGGCTGATTATTTTCAAATCTATACTGAACATCTACAAACGTCAGGAATTTGAAAAAGGTTAAATGCATGGCTATTGCGTTGTTGTTTTAGCAAATTACAAAAAGGTTATGTGTAATATTTATATTAACATATAGCGATGTTCCGGATTGAACAAAAACTCGCTGTTATGGATAAGCCTCATCAGCTTCCAAATAGATCAAGACAAATCACCAAACCAACAACAAAGACCCGAACGACATTGAAACCAACAACAAAGACTCAAACAACATTGAAACCAACAACAAAGACTCGAACGACAATGAAACCAACAACAAAGACTCGAACGACATTGAAACCAACAACAAAGACTCGAACGACATTGAAACCAACAACAAAGACTCGAACGACATTGAAACCAACAACAAAGACTCGAACAACATTGAAACCAACAACAACGATTCGAACAACAGTGAAACCAACTCCTGCTCCAGGTGAATACTTTATCCAATACAAGTTGTAGTTTATGAATATTTTATGAATAATCCACTTAAATTATCACCAGAAAACAACATACGCATTGTCGTATTGGCTTCGTTGCATTTTCTTTAGCCGGCTAGTTTGATTTTGAAATACAATATTGAAGTATTGTTTGAAGGCACCGGTGCTCCTTGCCAAAAGCAGGGATTAATCATCACTCAATATATTTTTCAAATATACAGTTATTTCATTTCAGAAAACTGCAAATTGAAGGTAGGAAGTATCTGTTATTACGCTGTGATACGTAATGAATGGAGTGTCATGTACAGCAAAGCAGTTGATATCTGTAAGAAACGTAACGCAGATGTTGGTTTGATCCGAGATGAAGAATCTTACAAAGCAGTTATGAATTACTTGAGAGAGAAAATTCCTGAGGGAAAGCGTAAAGTTTGGATTTGGACAGGAATTAAGATTGATCCAATGGTTAGTATCATATGGTTATGCCAAATATTCTCATCTGTTGGAATATAAAATATATTACGAGATGGGTAGAGAGTGAGGTGGTGAGACACGGCCAAAATGTTCGAGACATCTTGGGTTAGTTTAATGTCTACAACTGCGCAGGCGGTATATCGAATACATTTTTACGTTTTATCTGCGTTTCTGACTCCGGGTAAATTTACTCAGGAGTTTTTTGCAAAGTTGTTGATTGTCTTGGCGTTGATGTTCACCGATATTTGAAAATCGTACCATTATTAATTCCACTTCAAGTTTACAAGCTTCAAACCCAGCGCAGTAATGAACTTTGGAAATGGTAAATGAGCAATCACAAAACGCAAAAAAAATACGTCGCTATATTTTAAATGATTTGCAATGCCACCAGTCTTACCACCAATATGTTATGAGTATCCCATTATTTATGTCGGTGTCCCACCATAAATTAAATAATAGATACAAGTAGGCTATATGAAGAAAAAGAGGAGTAAAAAACATTTGAAAGGTAAAAATCATAGAGACTAAGATTAGCTCTGACGTAATCAAGTTGCTATGACACGATTAAAGTTCAATGTGAAATTCAAATGTGCTGCCCCATCTCATTCGCATGGACAAGCCTGTGTTTTACCACAAGTCTAAACTATTGAATCGCGCTGCTTGGCCCTGTTTCTCTATGAAGTTGACATGATCTTTACATTTGCTTTGTATAACTTGCTGCTTCGTCGTACATTGGAAATTATTTCTAGTTGTTCCGCAACAACCTATTCATCTAATTCCATCAGAAGACACATGTCGCACTCACTGAACTGGAAATATATGGAACGATTTTCGGTGCTCCCGAAGTATGCGAACCAAGATGGCGGACATCGGAACGTAACATGGGTAACAGGTTAGAGTTAGGCGATAATTTTTTTCCAATTTTCCTTATTTTAGTCCTATTATCAGTTCGAAGAGCCTCCCGTAGTATTTATACCTAAAATTATGGCCTAACCCTAACCTAGTACACATATTACATTCCGATGTCCGCCATCTTGGTTCGCATACTTCGGGAGCCCCCGATTTTCTCTCTCGTTTTGCGTTGTATCAGCGCGGAACCATTTTATCGCCGCCATTTTGGCATTTAAGGTTCCAAATTTTTTCGTATTGCATCTGGTTTTGGCCTGTTTTCGTCTATTTTAGTACCCAGTGCTCCGCATATGAATGTATATGCGACACTTTCTGGATATTCAAATACAAATATATTCAAGTTGGGAATTTAGAGCCTGATGTGGATCTCGTTCTTGAGAAAGTTTGGTTGTTCATGAGATTACGCAATTTATATAAGTGGAAGCGATGGTTTTTGCCTGATGTCATAAAAACGCAATAACTTCCACGGGAAACGCACTTTAGTTGGTACCAGGTCGGGGTTAGGCCATAATTTTATTTCGATTTACCTTATTTGCGTTGTATTACGAGTTCGGGTACTGATTGTGTTAGCCAGACCCCCTGTCCATAGATTTCAGTCCCTTTACAAAACTTGATGTAAAGTAGGCGAACAAAATTAGTTACCGACATATTGGTAGACACATTTCTGGAGCTCCCTTTAGTTCTATTTACATGTAGATTATAGCCACGCAATGATATTGGGATCGCCACGCAAAATACTTACGGCGATATAATACGGCCAAATACAGGTGAGTGGGAAAGCGATTCCGAAAAGCCATCTTGGTTAATTTTCTGTGGTCTGTGGTCGTTGTTGTTTGCTTTTGACTGATACGTTGGCCATATTATTAATTCACGACTTATGCAAATTGATAAAATAGCTAAAATTAGCACCGTTTGGTGGGCTGGGATATATTACCGTTTGATACATAATGAAAAACAAATCAAGATCCGGAGAATATGCGAGAAAAATCGACGAAAATAGTCAAATCCCATAAGGAAATGCATTACACATCTAGGAAAAGTTGGAAGTCTATCGACTAAACAAGAGAGTCTTCATTTGGTCCAGCGGAAATGAGAGAGAAGCGCACTCTTTATTTATATATATCTGTGGTTGCACTGAACTGCTTCGAGTTTAATCTAACAGGAATTGTGCAATATTATAGTTTTGGAAAAGCCTTCGCCCAGAGCATGAACATGAAGTACTACATGGAAAGGCAAGAGAGATTAGAAATATTTGCATTTACTTTTGACTAAGCATAGATCAAGAATATATATATCACAGTCGCTTCACATAATCATCAGAAGACTCGTCTTGCACTGAACTGCGCAGAGTCATAAAGAAATTGTGCAGTGCAATAGTTTTAGACAAATCTTTACCAAACGTATGAACATGAAGTTTTAAATATTATCATATGAGAGACTACAAATACTTGCATTTACATTCGACCAAGCATGGATCGATAATAATATATCGTATTTTGAAGAAAAAGTTCATGAAAAACATCATTTAGGACCATAAATGCGTGATCATGCTTGATTCAGTGATAAACGCCATCTAATTATTTTTTTTAGACTGGTGACGTCACACCTGCATATTCATTCACTAAATGGTATCCAGGTGATCCAAAAACGGGAATTGAATATAAAGATCGCACAAATGTTTGCCTTGTTGTTAAAGCAGACCCGAATGATCGTCGTCAAGGGATGGAGAATGTTTATCCTACCTATAAGCTTCATGGAGTTATTTGTGAGATCCTGATTTAATGAAATATCTGTCTGGCTGTATTTTGTTTCTTTATTATCAATAAAATATGAATCCGTGAATTCTAATTAAAATTTCTACGATTAGGCTCACCCTGATCGATGTCGTAATCACAGATATAATAAGGTAAATTAAATTATGGTAATTTTTAAACCGTTATTATCAGAATCATCTAAACGTAAAAATTATTCCCACTTTTTGAAATTTTCCAACAATTTGACTATTATTATTCAATTATTCAACAATACTGACTCAAATACAATGAAACCCGTAACTCAGATTCATTTTAAATGCCGTTTTATTTATTTAGACGAGACTAGTTAATATTACACGCAACATAGTATAGATAAAAATGGTGGCAAAACAGATATTGGCAGTGAAAAAGCACCACAGAACCTTAGGAATTCATTACTCGGAAAATTAAATGAAGTGACAACTTTGGTCGGTGGGTTTGTTTAAATTGACAAGAATTTTGGCCAAGTTTGACAGATTGAAATATGGCTGTGGTCTGTGGTTTGTAGCTCTTCATTCCGGTAGTGATCAAAATTTTCAATCTCGGTGAAAATCACCAATATCCAACAATATAATAAGACGTAGTGGTTCATCATGTGAGTTTAGACTTTTCTCTGTCCTGAGGTAAATGTGAAATATTGTGGTGTATTCGAGATGCGGCAGGTTATTCTTATTGAATAAAAAAACGTGATATATATCTGACATATGGCAACAAAACATATTGCAATAAATTGTATCAGTGTTAAAAAATGTATGGAACAGTTCCATATCTGATGACATGACTAGCAGACATGGATTGTATGGTATTATAATGGATAAACATTCAATTTGAATTTGATTCTTGACAGATAACAATTTGAATGCTGATTCAGGTACTACATGTTCGATTTTAGACAACATATAATAATTGGGCCATTGTAAATAAACCCGCAAAATCTGTGGCAACTTGTTGTTTCCAATATAACATATAATAACTACTGAGAGAAAAGGCAGCAAAAATCAGGTAACAGATGATAAGCATGGACAATGGAAACAAAATTTAGTGCGACTCGTCATAAAAAAGCAGCTCATAATGACTTCGGCAGTGTGGAAAATAGTTGCGAATTACAAGGCAATAACTTAAGCAGTGTAGTAAATGCCTTCAAAATTTTATGTGACATATGATAACTTGAACAGTGTGAAGGATTGCTGAAAAAAATCTGGACGTTAACTTGGACGTTGCTTTGGCAGAGCAATCTAATAAAAAATGGCTGAATAAACTGGGATCAAAAAATGATCACATAATGTTTTTACTTCCTTTATGTCTGCGTGGTTATTTATTCACCCCGGTCCTTGTTCCTGGGATCAAAATATGCCGTATCCGTATCATTGTCCGGCGTCGGCACAAACTGCGGGGTTATGGAGGTCAAATCAGACCAGTTGAGGGAGCCAAAGAGCTCAGAGCCACGAATATCTAAACATAAATAAAAAAAACTCTCATTGAACAGAATAAGAATATTGGTTTGATTCTGAAAGAGGGAGGAGGGATGACAGTATCTATGAGGACTTAGCTGGGCTTCCCAATGTTTTCAACTGCACCAGTGGAGGATAACTAATGGATACGTGATGTAATTGTAATCTACTTGCGCTTTCATTGAACAACCTAGGACAGATTTATACAGAGGAAAATAACACAACATATATAATGAGCTCTCAAGATAGGCAGGCAGGGTAAAATGAAAGTCGTTAAACTGGTTTGCAGAGGTAGCTGTCACCAATGGTTCTGATGGCAAGAAGTCAGAATTATACATTTTATTCTCTTACCTTTAGAATTCCCTCTTTCATCTGGATTCAGAGTCAAAAGCTTTAAAATCAGTGAGGTTGCTGATTCGGATAAGGCTTCGTCACCTTCTGGCCATTCCATCTCTGTAGGAAAGAAGGTATTTACTTAAAAAATGTTTTTGCTTGTAAGTAAATGGAGTAAATGAGACTCATCTCTGAGCAGAGCAAAGTTTTGGGCACTCACTCATAAGTACAGAAGACTCATCTCTGAGCGAAGTTATTGGCATCTCTGAGTAATGTCACATATAGAAGTAAAAGACACTCATCTTCAAAGAAAGTTACTGGCAATGATTAAAATGCAAAACCTACTAAAGCTATATAGCAGGGTTTCCAGACCGGGGGCTTCGTGGCCCCCTAGATCAGGGTGGTCCAAACCCAGACCGTGCCCCGCGTCGCATTCGGAGAAGAATCAAAACATCGCATTTCGTGTTGTTTCGTCATAAAATTAACCAAAAAGTCTTTTGACATATTGTTGCATCACTAATGTCACTGAATTGACTAGTGTTATGGCTTACTGAGGCAACTAGCGAAGTTAAATGATCGAGGTTCTTGGCACTATTGTGGCCCGCGAACAATGCAAAAGTAATTTTATGGCCCGCGGAGCTGCCAATCCTGGACCACCCTGCCCTAGATGCAGTTCCCAGTCACACATCTAGGCGAAAAACTGATTTAACCTTTTTCTTACAAAGAATTTCGTTTCCTTTCCAGTAGTTTCATTGCTTGATAAGGTTATTTCACTTTGATGAGCAAGAATTGTTCAAACATAATGGGACTTGAAACCCACCTATCAAAATAACAATCCCAATACCACTGGAATGATAAAGAGGGACTATAAATCCTTGAACCCCCGCGGGAGGGGGCCACGGGCCTTGAAAGGTTGGAATCACTGCTATATAGGATTATGTTGCTACATTACGGCATTACGCACTCAGTAACACCGAATGACCTTGGCCACATCAAACACTTACCTCGATTTAAAATATTTGTGAATATTTTATCAACGGTCGAATCATTGAATGGGGGAAAGCCGACTAAAAATTCATAAAAACAGACTCCGAGCGCCCACCAATCCACTGCATTGCCATGTTGTTTGTGAAGTAGCAACTCTGGTGCCAGATAGTCTGGGGTTCCTGTGAAAAGAGATAATTGTGAATGGTTACACTCTGAACAAAGAGAGAATAATATTTGAAAATTTCTATATTTGAAAGAACAGACACAATACCTGCCCAATTTATGACATACTGAGTTATTACCCCAGTAGTGCAGGACTATACGCAAAAAGATTGACTCTTGGATATGGAGCCGTTACTGATATTTTTTCAAAGATGCGATGGTTAACTAATCCTCAAAAGAAAATTAAAAACGGTACTCCTGCGCACCAAGATATCGCATAACCTGAACACTAACCTTTTTGAGTTCAGGTTGTGCGCCCTATTGGTGCGCTTACTTCAGGAGTACCGTTTTTAATTAACTTATCCTCAAAAGAAAATTAAAAAACAACATATGTGAATGATTAGTGGAGTGAGTGATGATATATATATATACAACAAGCGATTGTCTTGGTATCTCAGTTTACCCATCTCAGACAGGCCACCTTAGAAAGGCAATGTCGAACCGACACCTTTTCTTCTGAGAATATTATCGGCATATGTGCAGTGACTGCTTGTACATGGTTAGAATTTAATAGACAATAGACATGGTTTATATTTATAACACTGCCAAGCTATGAAGGACACAAAATAATGGAATGCAAACTACAAATATCCTTTTACCCCAAATTCTCGATTCCGCTTGTGATTGTTTTCTTTTGACACTTTTTGGGGTTCGCAGAGGAGTCGGTTTGGGAGCCATGTGTCTCATCGGGGTTAAAGGTCGCAATGGGGTTCTTTGTTTTGGAGTGTTGAAACGGATACGGTTGACTGATCGAAATCCAAATGCTGGTTGCAGACCTGTATTCTGATAAAAAAATATTAATCAGAAACAGAAGGCAAAAGACCCATGTGTGGGCAAGATCCGATAATCTACTTTTCAGAATACATTCCTAATTAATAGTTCCTTTGTGAAAGTGAACTTCTTATTTCTGTTTTGGAATAAAAAAATGGAAATTTTTAGGGTCAGGAGCTGATGATTCAATTACTTAATTGGGATTTATTTTTCGATTACTTTGGGAAGCAGTCGACTGAGAATCTTATCTACCCAGACTCTTCAGATTTTAAAAGTATGTACAAACAGCAGCTCAGATAATGAATTCAGAGTCTGGCACTTTTACTGGCTTGGAAACCCGGAAAAGACCTCTATTCTTATAAAATGTCCATGAAATAGCACATTTATATATGGATTGAGAAAAATTGATGCAATTCTGTAAAAAAACAGAGCCAGGCATGGGTGAGTTAGGATAATCTACTATCCAGAATTAGGATAGGCCATCATTTTTATCCTGGGCAAAGGAAAGCTTATAAGACGGCTTAATCATATGAAGAACATCGGCCTCTTGTCCAGTTACCAGTCCATGTCGGGTATGGGATTAGTTAGCCCGTTACTTGTTTTGAGATGAATGAACTTGATGGTGGAGGAAGTTGTAACCGACCAGCAGTTACATGAACAAGAACCAACCTACGGTGGCAAGGAGTCCAGTGTATCCAGGCAGGGTAATCAGAGGTGCGAGGGCATATTCCTGATGCTTAGCATGATGTATCACCACTAGGGCTGGGAATGGTTAACCGATTTTATATGGTTAACGGTTATGATTTATTTTAACCGTAACTGACATCTCATGTACAGATCATCTTTATACCGTACAATTTCGTCAAATATGATTACGTCATCGCAAACTTATTTCTTGCAGCGTTTATTTCGAAAAAATATTACTAACTGTGTGGGTAAGGTATCAATAAATGTGAAAAATAATGGAAGCACCAAGGTTGCTGATAATGAAAATTTACAATGATGAATTCAGAATCATTTTTCGGTCGATTTCGAAATATATTGTTCACGATTTCATTGCAAAATCGGATATTCAATGTCATACAACAAGTGTGCAGTTGATGCCGTTTTTCTTTATGATAGATACCTCGAAGTAGAATTTGCACATAGAACACTCAAAATTTGTCACATAAATGACGTTTAACAACGGAATCGGGTATTCTAAAATATTTCCATATGCGCGAACCACGCTGCCTATCTTTTGCAGCAGAGGAATCCTGAAACTATCTCGATTCGTGAATAAATTTGAGCGATACCGGGATAAGAATACGCGAATTGCTTTATAACCATTGTGACGTAACAAGCTGAAATTATAATTATTACGTCAAACGCCAGCGGCGTTTAACCGGTTAATTTTACCCCGTTACGTTAACGGTCAAAGTGTTTTCCCCAAAATTCCCAGCCCTAATCACCACACTAATCATACTATTCTAGTTTCAAATACGAAATGTGAAATTATAAATCCAAGACAAGTTCGGCACTTTGTTTTCAGATGGGTGCAAAAATTGGATATAATTCTGCGACAACAGAGAGATAGTGATGGCCGACGTGTAATTTACTATTCTGAATATATTTGAAATATAAGTAGTTTTGAATATCGAATTTATTTTTCAAATAAGGTAATTTTAATTTAAATGCAATGCAGAATAGCTGGAACATCCGAAATTATGCATATGATAAAAAATTTAACACATTGATTATAATTTCAAGTGCATTGGGAAATCTTATTCATTTTTGACCTCCCTGATTTCAGTGACATGCTGGGCCTACAGACTGGTTTGCCGAGGATTCGAAACAGCTGAAAGAACCAGTTAAGAACAAGCAAGTTAGTTACCTTAGGGTTAGGAGTGCAGTACGCTGCGGCAGAGTTGGGTGGAACGCATCCTGAAGTCATCAGCGAAAGCGGAATTCCGTTATCCTGGTTATTTTCGGATAAATTCTTTCGATTAGGTGTGTGGAATGAGTTTCTATACTGCTGTCTAGCACGATTGGGAGTTTTGTCCGATTCAAACGAAAAATGACTAGATTTTGAGAACGATGGTATCGGGGAGTGAATTATATCAAGTTTGGGTATACGCAATAGCTCCTCCCGATGGCCAAATATCATATTCTCTTCCGCGAATGTGACTGAAGTCCGTTCAACAGTGGGTTTAGTTTCAGTTGCTTTGGATAGAACAACTTCTGGTGCAGAAGAGTTGGCAGCAATAGACTCCAGACCAGACTTAGCGATAGACTCTGATGCAGTTATTATGATAGCCTCCGGTGCAGTCATATTTACTCCACGGTTGACCGATTTTTGTTGGATTGGTGACACATCAATTGTCTGTGTATGTGGCGGGGATAGAGCGCCACATAGTGGATCTATCACCAATGAACTGTCCAAATCTTCAAACTTCAGCGGAATGCTGCTTGCTCTATAAATAAACAAAATACGCTGAGTCAGCAAAATCAATATGACAAGGATCAGCCATAAGCAAAAGAGAATTTTCAATCTTCAATCTAATATATGTAATTCCCTACCCCATAGCTGTTTTCCTGTGTGCATTGACTTAAATTTCCTGAAGTCTCTTTGTCAAACAACATAATTCTACATGATTTCAGTAGTGTTTCGCATCTCAGTAGTCGCCCCCTAACTTTGCTTCGAAATAAGTCTCATTTACCTCTGAGTGAGTGCCTATAACTCTGCTCAATAAGCAGTCTTTATTACTTCTGAGGGAGTGTCTGTAACTTTGCTCAGAGATAAGTCTACTTAATTCTGAGTGAGTACGTATGCTTTAAGTAAACAATATTAGGAAGAAAAGAAAGTAAACGTTACCTTGTGGAGTCAAGATGTGTGATCCCACTTTCAACGCTGATCCGACGTTTCACGTTCGCACTTTCGAGTCTGACAATGACAATACATTGGTTGAATTGTAAGTTTGATATGATAGTGCAGTGGTTTCCGAACTTTTTAGAGTTGTGACCCACTACTTATTACCACAGCTTATGGCGACCCATTTAACTTTTTATTGCATAACACAGAACACAGCAATGGCTAATCATCGCAAAACTACCGTGTTTCGTATTCGAGTCGCCATCGATCCCAAATAACCAGTATAAATAATCAAAACTTTTCACATCTTTTCACGACCCACTAAGATTCCTTTTGCGGGGTCATGACCCATAGTTTGGGAACCACTGTGTTAGTGTGTAATGGTCTAGTGCTGTGGTTCCCAACCTTCTTTGTTAAATTTCTCCATTTGCATATTTAAGAACTCTTATAAAAACTACTTTAGTTGTTCAATCTTATCATTTAAATATATGAGTGTGTGAGGGCCTAGTGCAGAGGGTACGAATTTGGGTCCATGAACACCCAGGGGTACACAGACATAGTTTCATGCTCATTCATGCATCATACCACTGATTACCCTGCCTGGGTTCACCAGAGTTTATTTTTTCATGAAAGATAATCATGCATGTAAACAATGCTGAATTTCAATTAATTGGCAGGTCATCCCTTCCACACCATTCTTGGACTGGTAACCAGGTTATCCCTTCAACACCATTCTTGGACTGGTAACCTACCAAAAGTTGTCAGCCATTCTATTATTGGTTCATCCCATCAGCTTTCCTATCTCACCGAAAAACATGAATTTTTTTGAGAAATCATCTCACCTGTCTTCATCCCATGGTGCAGTGAATGAGGAGTCTTCTATGTTGCCACGGACAACCTCGACTGATCCATCAATACATTGGAATGGAGTAGAATGTGTTGGGATCATCGATGATGCGTGAAGGTCAGAGGTCATGAATGAGCTTAAATCTTCATGAGACGTGTTATGAGAGTTATCTTTTTCTGAAAAGCAAAGCATTCTGAATAAAATTAGAGCAGGCACTTAATTACAATCACTGAACAGAGCTTGTTGAAACCGTCGTTCCCTCTAAGCTGCGCAGCTGCGAGGCCGCGCAGCTGCCCGAGAATCGTCGCGCAATACTTTCGTTCTGTATGACTATAAACTTGACTAAGTTTGAAAAAATACAAGTCATAGCCTCTCAGGAGATGCTATTATCTCAACATGATTGGTCAAATAGCTAATGAGAGAGGTAACTTTTGTTAACAATGATAGCAACACATGAACAACAACAACATCAATTCAGAGAGATTCATGGGTCTGCTTTGTGTCCATGTTCTTCTGGAAGACACGTTGATCTTCGACTACCAATAAGTCAAATCTCCTCATCCCAAATATAATATTTTGACGAATCTTTCCACATACCTGCATAGGATGAGAATGGCAGCTTGCCTTGGTTGTCTTTTACACCTGTGATGAAATATTAATATTAACACAACTGGCTTCTATGATCATCCTTATCTCTAAATGCTAAAAATAAATGGCCCAGTAATTGATAGAAGAGCGATTTTGTGTCTGAATTGTTGGTTGTTTTTCTAACAAATTCTTAGATGGCTGATTATTCACAGTTCACATGTCTTCAGTTACAGATGACTGATCATGACCAACCAGCTGTTCTCGTGAGTTGAGTGCTCAGTCAAAGTTTCCAAAAACTCAGATTAAGTTCACTGAGCATTTTCAGCAGATAATTAAAAAAGCCTTCCCTACGTCAAGTTTAATAGTTTTCAAAAATTGATTTTCTTGGAGCTTGAGTTCAGAGTCAAAACTTTTTTCAACCCGATTCGGTGCCAATATCTAAATGGCCCAGATTTTTGATTCGAAGTTTGGCGTTAATTTTACACGGCTTCACAAGACTGGTTCGTAGAAACCAGGAAGTAAAACATCTACCTTTATTTAAACTTGAATTATTGCTCTTCGGTGACTTCGCTTCGAATGATAATTCTTGGAAACTTGCGTCAACATCAGAGATTGATTGCTCCACATCAGAAGCTGCAGAAGAGATGAATTAATAGTCAGAGAAAAATCTATGAAAGATTCGTGAAATATCAGAGATGTCAACAGACGATGATCACAGTGTACACATCACTAGATCGTTTAATGCGTTTGCGTGCATGGTAATTTATGAACTGTGGTGCAAGCCTAGTTAAGTCTAACTTATTGGTACAAATTTTTCTTTTATTTAACATTAGCAAGTATGACTTCTGGAGCATATGACCAAAGTATGACTTCTGGAGCAGTATTTATAACCAGGAAGTATGCTTCAGTAGTTTTACCCATAAGGCCATCATGCTGTGCTGTCATTGGTCAGTTTTACAGTGGGAAATAAGATTAGAGCACAGTTATCCCAATCACTTGGACATAATGAAAATGAGATCATAAGTCAACACCCTCCCTGGGTTAGAATATTGAAAATTACCTGATATATTTACTGACACATCAGCACATTTAGCTTCCTCATTGGGGCAAAGGTCAGGGCTTTGAGAGCAAATCGAGTCATCATGAAGTCCATGTAGTGTTTGTAGTCTAGACTCATTCCTGTCACCTAGTGGTGCATCGAGTCTCGGCCAAGATCGAGAAAACCTTGATTCATCATGCATGAAATTTATATTTGATATTTCCGTTGTTAATCCTGTGTGGCTTCTTGAAAGCAACCGACGACGTTTGGCTGGCGGAATCAGCATTCTCGGAGACACTGTAGAATAGTTAGTGCAGGGGTCTCAAACTCGCGGCCCGCGGGCCAATTGCGGCCCGCAGGACGATCGTTTACGGCCCCCACCTTGGTATGAAAGTGTAATGTTAGTGCGGCCCGTAAGTCACTCAGCTCAGTTCCGCAGTTAGAATGATTGATGCATTTAATATATGATCAGGACAAGTAGAGCAAAACAAAATATTTTACAACCTATCCCCCTAAAGGAATATGAGGTACGGTAACCTACTATTACCGTACCTGTAGGCATGATATCCGATGGACCATTGACCCCGAAGAAAATTTTAGAGGTGGCTTCGCGAGTTGAAGCCTATAAACTGGGGTATATGTTTCACGTCATCATTTTGATTCAAAATATTCAACAACCTGTAGAGAAGTTTAGCCTAGTTCTTTGATTCATACTTGAATTTCTGAAACACAACTCAAAACTAAATAGCATGAAAAAACGGGGTAATGTTTACAAACATGCCTGAAAATTTTTCTGAGTGACAAGTGTCTGAGCGTTTGCGAAAAAGTCTATTGTTACGTCACTTTTTGCATCTTGCTGATTAGCCCATGTTACAGTATAATACAAGGAAGTAGATGCTCGGGATAAGGTCCATCGCGGAATTACTTACATTTATGTTTTTGACATGTTTTTCGTAAAGAAAACAGAGAAAAAGATTTAACTTTTTAAGTTTAATGCTTTTATCGTGAAAAACCGGATGCGGCCCGGACTCACTAGTGCTCCCTCTCGGCGGTCCCCAGGTAAATTGAGTATGAGACTCCTGAGTTAGTGGAATATTGTTTTTATATGTATAACGTTTTCGCTCAAAACAAACAATAACAAGCAATGATATATTGTACATATTGTATTTTCCGAATACATCCTGAAATAACACCAGTGAACTTGCGATTTTTGACTGTAATATGTTAGGTTTTTCATGTTTATCACGGGGAGAGGAAAGCCAATAAGATGGCCTAATCATACGCTGAAACACGGCCTCTTGTCTGGTTACCAGTCCATGCCAGGTATGAGATTAGTTAGCCACGTAACCTTCATGCTCTCTATGAGCAAACAACTTCGCTGCCTCCTGGAGGCTTTCCCGCTTCCAGTTTTTTTTCACCTAAATAACCTGTAGAATTAATCATCAAACCTTTGTTGAACTTTTTTCCCTGTTCAGGTTCAACGCACACAGGTTCAGAGGTCATTTTCTTGTCATCATCAGAGGAAATACGTCGATGTTTCCGAGCAATCATCGGGGATACAGGACAACTCACAGATTGCGGACGAACTATTGGGTGACAATTCTGAAATATATCAGATAACTTTCGTAGAATTATTTTAAAATATTCATGTTGCATTTTTACAAGTATGCTCCCAACAAGGTTCCAGAGAAGCAGTGAAACAGCTCATCGAAATCAAAGTTAAGTTTTTGAAGGAATCTGAATCTTTCTGCTTCAGCATTATCTATCTAATTTATTACAACTTTGCATGCAGTGGTGAGTATGAGCTTTATATTTCAACCTGCAAATTCTTTATAAGAATTGTCGTAATTTTGAAATGTTCTTGGCGACCAGAACTGTGGAGCCAGAGAAAAGTTACAATTCGCTCCCAACTCCGTGTCGGGAAAAGCTTTGATTCAGCTTCAGTTTTCAGAATTTAAACTTTTATAACAAAGACTTTGGCGTATGCAAGTCTTTTTCAATAGACTTTGCAGAATGCTTAGTCAACTCAATGCATTTTGAATCATATTAGAAAGTTTTGACTTATTGCCATTGACATTGAGGAATACCCAATCAGACACCGCACTCATGTTAAAAACACACCTCTTTGTCAGATTCATGGAATACTTCGTCGTGCGGATCTTTGTTACATGACTCGTCATGCATGGACGCTTTGTCATCTGCTTCAAATGGAATGCTAATCAGTCGACTGTCTGGTGACATCGCAAAATCACTAGGTGTCGCTATTGTAGAAGCGCATGACATACTTCGAGATACCGCACAAATCGATGCCGTGATTGACATTGCAGAGTCTGAAATGAGCAAATATTCAGTAAGGATTGATACTCCCAGGCCATCAGGAGAAGAGTAAGATAGAACTATCAAATGGAAACTATATTTTTTGAGAACTTTCTCAGAGCAAGGTCAAACACACTCACTCAAAAGTTACGGACAAATACTAAGGGCTACTGAAATAAAATAGAACTATCGTGGCACATTAACACGCACTAGTTCAGAAGTAAAGAAGATTCATCTCTAAGCAGAGTCACGAGACTACCACACAAATGCCTAGAGCGAGTGAAAAAGTAAACTATACTCTAATTCAGTTATCAGCTTGTGGCCATCAAACAATCGCAAGCTCTCTATTTGAAAGGCCATTATTTGAAAATGCCCATCTCTAGTAAGAATAGATATGGCGTTTAAGGAATGGTAATCTACCATAATCTGGGGAAGCACTTAACACACACTCAGGCTGTTCAAAGTTTGAATAGTTCATAATTTGTACATAAATGCATAAAGCATGCGAATATATTTCATGAATAAAAAACACTTATTAGGCAATACATAATTACAAAGTCTCAAAGTTATGAAACTAATAGTTAGAGCAGGGGTGGGCACAGTTTTTCTGCAGGAACCACATTTGGAAAAAAATTAACAGTAATCTTTGGACAAAATTTTAAACATAAAACATATCAAACTAAAGATCTTGAAAGTAATATATCAGATGACAAAGTAAAATCATTTTATTTGACAATGCAAAGTAACCCATTAACAGTTAATATTAATGAAGCAAGATGTCAAATCTGAATTTTGTGTGTACTGTGTAGTAAATTTTGTGTAAAAATTTCACAAGAGTACCAAACAAAATGCTTTACATGCCAAATTTTGCCAATCTTTTGGACAGAGTAAGCTTCCAATGGTCAAACGAGAATATTGGTCGGAGACCAAAAGACTTAATAATCGGAAGTTAGGGGATCCCCAAAACAGAGCTCTTACTCCATAGTGACACGGTGTGTCCCATCACTAATTAATTAATAACTCGCTAATTATACAAACAGACAAACAAACAAACAGACAAATACCTATCAACATACTTACCAATCTTAAGATCGATAAGTAATAAATCTAAATTTGGTGTGTAGTAATTTCACAAGAGCGCGGCACCAAATATAATGCTTCGGCGTGCAGTATTTTGCTCATTCTTGGGTTAGATAGAGTAAGCCTTCAATGTTCCTACCTGAATTTTCCAACCTGCTTTTAATCCAAGTCCTCTCACTCAGTGGAGTCCGCAGATCTCGAACACAAGTTCCGCTGATGGACCCAATCGGACCTGAGAAAAATAGAGAAATTCAATGTTATGATCAGTTATTAAATGATAAAAAAGTAGGAGATTTTTCTGTCCATACCATTATATTTACCAATCAAAAAGATAGAAGACTAGTTAGCATTTTAGGCTGGTCAAGCACCCTACTCAACTTGGCTGGTTGACCAACCCAGTCATAACACAAGTCAATTCAATGACACTAGTGATGTAACAAAGAATTTTTCTGGTTATTTTCATGACAACACCACATGTAATTTTTTGATTACCATCCAGTAAATGTGACGCACGCAAGCGAGACCTCAGAAACGAGATCATTCTCCTTCAGATAAAAAGTTTCCAGTCTCTGAATTTTCTGATGAAACTCTATGTTCATTTATCCATTATCGTTTAACAATCCGTTATTTATTTAAACTCTTTTTGCCTTTTCATGACATATATGGCTACAAAAAATACATTATGACGTAATAACTGAGTGAGCTCTCGAAATTTTTTGCCGAAAAGACCCAGCACTCATTTGACTACATTAGTACGTAATATAGTACGTCTGTGCCTTTTTCGTCCATTCTGCTTGATTTATGAAGTTGTACATCTCATGTTCGTTAGAGTTACTTGCTAACTTACTGTTATAAAATGATTTCAAAATATAGGTAGCATCATTGCATTAAGATTTATCAAATTTTAATTACAGTAGTATTTCAGTACTACCTCTTGTTTTAGAGTAAAGGCACTTCACATATAATTGTAACAGTAGTCTGTTTTTTTAGTAGCACGCGGCAGAATTATTTTATTGAATTAACCAGACTGTGGCACGCGAGCCAAAAAAGGTTGCACACCCCTGGGGTAGACCAACCTGATCTAGACCATGCCATGACTAGTATTAGTACACTCAGGGATCTCAGTTTCAAATCCCATCCTCGTATCTAAATTAATTAGAATTGGTGTGCAATACCAAACTTCAAAAGATTCCCTATACTTTAATAGGAAGCATCTCCTTATGAATTGTTGAATATCACTAAGTGCTTGTACAGGGCCTTGTTCAGAGCAGAATGCACGAATAAGTACATTATAAATAAAAGCTATCAACAGCTTTAAACTGTGTCAGCGTATTGCGTATGTATCAGCTTCCCCTACTAAAGAATAAATATGAAATTCCTAAGCTGTTATTCAGTTGAAAACACAAGTACCGTATATGCTCGTTTTACCACCCGTTCTTGATCAGGGGGCCGTTCGAATAGCCGTCGTGTGAACAGAACATAAAATTAAATAAGGGCCGGTGCTTGGATACCCGCCCGATGTAAAAGCTGATTTTTCAGTGGTAGAGAACAATAAGAAATAAGAAGCGCTTTTGTCACAACGCTGTTGAATTTGGGCGCCGGTAGATAACACTCACGCCTTAGGCGTCCAAGTACATAAAAGATAACATTAATTACATAACACCATGGTTCTCAAACGGGGCGTTGTGACGACCAAGTGCGTCGTTTTAATATTGATAGGGCGTCGCAAAACTTTTCTTCTTTCGCGGATTTGTACCTGTGGTGCGTAGAAAAAGTCAAAATTTTCTTTATTCTCGTTTAAATCATACTGGAACTGGAAATAACAATATATTAATTATTGTAACGATCGAAAATAACAAGCGCTCGTGCTTGAATAAGGGCCGGTCCGAATAAGGGCCCGGTTAGTGAGTTGGTTGAAAAAAGTATGGTTCCGGGCTACAAAACAAGCAAATACGGTATATGATCTTGAATTCGAACCTTACATGCATACTGTCTCACTTGATTCTGTGGCAGCATCGTCAGACAATGACGAACCTATAGAATCGGAATCTCTAAATTACACATTCCACTCCAAACAAGACAATCATTCAATAATCTCACCTCTGTCTCTAACAACCTCACTGCAGGGCGGAGTCTCAAATATTTCCGAACTTTGGCGTCGAGTTGAAGATCCTCCACCAGTAGATGGCGGTGTTACATGTTCAGGTGAGAACCCTCCACAACTTTCTTGAGATCTGGAACGCTGGATTATGGAATTATTTGAAATAGTGAATTTACATGACGTAATAACATAATGCATATATGCCTGATGGAAGCCATTTGTGATTTTTCTATTCAAATTATTCTGAAATCTGAATTATTCAAAAATCAAGAATTACAAATAAAAAATACCAGATTCCAAGTTAGTATAAGTAGGCTACATATACTGTCAGTATTTCGATGCTGGTAAGCTTTAGCGACACATTACTTGTACAGGATGTAAAAATATTATCCTGTAGTCTCAGTGTGATAGTCTCATCTTGAAGCAAAGTTATGGGAATCCACTGGAATGCCAACATGTACTAGGTGGGACTATAATAAATCATAGCATAGAAGTAATAGAAACTCGACCAAGCAAAGTTATGTGCAAACGCTAAAGTGCGTATCTTACTACAAACCTTATGGTAAAGCACTTAAAGCACTTAAGTGATAAAAGATACTGAGACTATACAGAATATAGAGTATAACTGCGCAGTGGTAAATATTAATTGATTGACATCTTACTACAAACCTTATGGTTGATGGCAATCAGTGGGCTGTCAATAGCAGGAGCATATCTTGCATTCTCCAGTGAAATTCTTCGATGGCCGGCTACGTATTTGCGTGGAGGCCTGGATGGCAACGATGGGCTTCCAACGCTACCAGGAGAGCTTTGCTGAAAATTGAGTTGAACGGTAAGTGATTCTTACCCTATCTTTACCTGTGATACAGAAACTAAATTACCAAACAACTCATTTTACTTACGAAGTTGAAGTTGGAAATCAGCGACACAACTTGTCCGGGAGTTCTGTAATATTCAAGGTTAGCCAGTCTGCTTCCAACTGATGGGGTTTTGGCAAGGTCTGATATGCTGAGATCTGCAAGATGATGTTCATTGTATGAGTTTGACAATGTTTTTGGACCGGGGGGTCAAAAATTTATAAGGTATATACAATCAGTAATCAGTCATGACTTCTTCCACAATCTACATACCCGGTCTGCTAACCAGTCATGGCTACTATCAACTTTCCTCTCTTCCATTCTATGCAGAGAAGCGTAGAACAAAAACCACGACGAATCGAATAAAACAATCATTTTACCTCTATCCAGAGAGACTGTCGCAAGTCCGAAGTCTGTCAGCTTAATGTGACCTTCCTTGGTAATCAGCATATTGTCTGGTTTCAAATCCCTGTAAAATGATGAAAAATATCATTGGCTGATTTAGGTCGAAAGGTCGCATACTTTGCACAAGAGAGAAGGGTTGAAATTCAGTGAACTGGGATCCAATTTGGAGAATGCCGTGGTTCTGTGCTAACATAACACTCTTTATACAGGTGGTTACAATTTCAAAATTTTGTTATGACTTTGCAATTTATATTAACCAGGTTCGTTCAATCAGTGTTCGAGAATAGAATAGAATTTACATAGATATCCCGAGGAGAGAAAAGTCTATAGGACGACTTAAACATATGGCACACCATGGCCTCTCGTCTGGTTACCCGTCCATGTCGGGTGTGGGATTAGTTGGTCAGTTGCTAGTTTCCGGAAGCATGGACTTTTTCTTTTTTACTTTTTTCAATAATCCTTTATATGCCTATATTTGAAATTTAGAATTCGACAATCACCCTGGTACTAATCGGTACTAACTGGTCGGTTATGGCTTCCTCTACCATCAAGTCCATGCGTTTGAACAAAACAACTGAATAGGTATTCCCACACCCGACCAGTAAACGGGCAGAAGGCCATGTGATTAAACTCTCTTGTCAGTTTTCCTCCTTATATAATTCCCAAAAATTGAAAGCTGATTGCAGCTCTGGCTGTTATATCGATAATAATAAGTCGGACTTCACAATTCCGGTTATTCCGATCATCCTCCCCATATTTACACCTATTCATTCACTCACCTATGCACTATCCCATGGTTATGCAGATATTCCAAAGCCAGCGTAGCTTCCGCGATGTACAGAACAGCCATCTCTTCATCAAAATATCCAAGAACGCTAATTAAACTTTTTACATCCCCCCCAATCACGTACTCCATGATCTGAAAAGCAACATTTCTTGACTTATTTTCTCACACAAAGATTTCCAATGTAACTTGAGTAGGATTTTCCAAAATAACGCTTACCGATAATTCACATATTTTGGTTCAAATAAGATCACGGGTAGGCAGGCACTGATGTAGCTAGTATTTTTGAAAAGATCACATTGGCATTGCCCTATAATAATAACTAGTCAATGTAGTCAGCAATTAGGGATGTCCAAGCGAACCAAATATTCTAAATCAAATTGAATCGCAAATTATTCGAATCGTTTTTCAGCTAATTTCCGAATCGCTAAAATTAGGTACAGAAAGCGGAAACCACCTTTGCAGGACGTTTCTCATCGGACAAGCAGTGGTCCATGTAGTCAGCAATACCAACACATTTAAATCTCAGTCATTGAGCCCAAAGATACCGATAGACACCCTGATATAGCCTACTGTCATCAGCTTAAATTGAGATGTGTACATATTTTTACATGAAGCTTTCATTCCTTTCACCGAAAGATGGCTCTGGGTGAGCAGTTGTTCCTAGGCATGGAGCTACTTCGTTTAGAAGGATTGGACTCTTTCCGATTCCATACTACTGCCTATCCGATTTATAACACTCTAGGATTTGTACCAAAGATTTTTAAACACAGCTCTATGTAAGCAGTTATTCCCAACGGCCGGCAACCAACTTGTTTAATGTTAAACAAGTTCATGGACGCCATCTTGTGCCATATTTGGGAAACACGAAACAATGGAGTCTTATGAGAAATTTTCTTCGTGTTGTTGTACCAAATCGAATAAATCAGCTGTCATAAGGGCTAGAATGAAGCCGAAGGGTGGGTTTTGAACTTTAAGCTATATGCTACTTAAATATATAACGCAATTAGGAATAAAAAACTATCTAATGGGTTAAATTTGGCCACAAACACAACGTAGAACCATTTTTGGTCATTTTTTCAAAGATTTTATAGTGATACACCAATTTGACGCTGTAAAATGTCTTCGCAACAATCATACAATGTCATTTGTTCTTCTAGCGCAGCTTGGAGCTTGACAGACAAAAAATGTAAACCAGAAAATAGAAACAGCCATTGAAGCGAAGTTGAGTCGGCCGGTAATTTCGACGAATAAATACAGCTTTTCATCTGTGATGTTCCTAGGCATGGGAATTGTCAAATGGTTGATTATGACGATTGGAAATGCCAACTTACTTCAGAAGCAACTCGGAACTGGTATACTTGTCTTCAAGGTCAATTTAATGTACTGTAAATGTAATTTGGCAAACATGGAAGAATATCAACGTGTTAGGCTAAGATTCTCCTTCAAAACGCGACCTTCAAAATTTTTCTACCTAAAATATTAGTGAAAATAATAGGTATGTTTCAATGATTGTGTGCAAACTTCTCATAAGGCGCCGTGTTGGATGGCCGAGAACAATAGGCACAAGATGGCGTCCATTGTCGGAGCGTTGCCTCGCTTGTATCATATATACGCTTTGGTTATTCCTAGGTATGGAGCTACTTTATTCGGAAGGATTGGAATCGGCAGATTCGTCACCGCCTATCCAATTCATTACACCTTGTATCCATATCCAAGATTTTTTCAACTGCAATGCCTACATATCAAGTCCAATGCTTTAAGTTGAGGAAAAAAAGAATGAAAGTTCTGCAAAATTATTTACCAGATAAATGTCATCATGAGTCTCTAATGAATAGTACAAGTGTACAATAAACGGACTCTTGCTCAAAGCGAGGGCGTTGCGCTCACAAACGACGTTCTTCGTCATGTTTTTACGGACCATGTTGCTCTTCTTCATAACCTGTGTTGAAACAAGAGAGAAATGCTCAAATACATGTTAATAGTCAAACGAGATAGCGATCAGAGATCGCCGACTTATCGATCTAGTGGCGTGTATCCTTCGCTCTGACTCAACAGCGACACTGCGTGCCCCATCACTAATTAATTAATAACTCGCTAATTATATGACATAATTCATCCAGAATCATTAGGCTTCTGATCCGAGATATGATGAATGCACATGCAAAATTTGAAGCAGATTCATCTTCGCTTTCGTGAGATATCGCGTAACATACGAAAGTGTCTAACAGACAAACAAACAGACAAATACCTATCAACATACGGTAATCAAAATCGATAAGTAATGACTAATATGGAGACTGCAATGCGAGAAAAATTCCAATTATAAGTGAAATGAAATTATACAGAGTGGGGTATGAAAATATGCTGTGAATTATCAACAACAGCAAAATTTGGGGCAAAAACTTTAAAAAAAAAAAATTAATTGCTTTTTAGTGACTTTATTAAGGATGAAAACTTTGTAATATGGAAAAGCCTTTATTTTTAATGCTTAAAATTGGCCACAGCTTACTCGTTAAGTTGACTTATTGGCTGAAAACTTTCTGCATAATGAAGGGGACTAAAGAAAGATAGTCGTTGAAATTATATTATTGAGACTACAAGAAATATAACGAGAATATCGGTCAGAGACCGAAGACTTATCGATTGAAAGTTAGGGGATCCCCCAAAACAGATTAATAACTCGCTAATTATACGACATAATTCATCCAAAATCAATAGGCTCCTGGTCCGACATTATGATTGCACATGCAAAATCTGGAGCAGATTCAATCTCGCTTTCGTGAGATATCGCATGCATCTAACAGACAGACATACAGACAGACAAACAGACTTACCGATTAAAATTGATAAGTAACAATCTAAGCAAAGATTCACCTTTATAGCATATAGCTTGCTGTTGGTTTTTCTTTTTCCAAGCAGTACGCAACCAAATGCTCCTCGACTTATCGGTTTTAAAATAACAAAGTCGTTGACATCGGGCGGTTTAGGGGCAGCCGACATATCCATGGACTCTCCACATATGGATGCGCCAGTGTTCTCTTTTATGTCAACCATGATATTCGAAATGGAATCTCGACAAAAACCACTGGAGCATGACAGGCTAAACTGTTAATGTCTGGAAATAATTTGATAAAATTGAAAGTCAAATATGGGAAAATAGCTCTCAAAGAGTCATTGGTGCAACTATATTACAACTATATTTCTAGGATTCACAAATCACAATAAATTCATCGCAAACAAAATGCATCGTCAGTAGTTTCTTCCAAAATCAGGCACTCCTTTAGGCATCTGTAGTTGGTGTAGTTTGTTAGTTTATTAATACAGTAAAATGAAGTTGCGCAAAAAAATACAAAGAAGCGCAATCTAAAAACGTCATCATTGAATTCCTTTCGAAAAAAAATCCAATTTTCCGAAGAAAAAAATTTTCTACTGTGGCATTCGAGAGTTTTTAGCAAAAAACAGGATTCTGATCATGTGACGGCCACGATTTATTTAGAATACTTAATTATTAAGACAAGCGTGTTGCAATATGACGCATCTGCCGTCATGCCAGACGCCCCTCGTTTGTGTGACACATGGGGTGTTTGTTTTATTGATCCAAATTTTGGAATTTGGATAGTGTGCCCTACCATACTGTAATAAGGTATATTTAATTTTTCAATGCTAAAATATGAAAAAGCTGTGCAAAAAATAACAAAATCACGCCCTTGTAAAAACCTATTTTCTAAATGTTTCCGATTACTTTAAAAATATAAACTAGACATACACATTTTGTGAGAATCTTTTTGGCTCAAAAATAAGGCTTATACTTATGAACTTATTACAGCTTTAGACATTCAAGCAATAGCAGAATACAGGAACAGCATGGGATTTACATATAAGGTGGCCTACCCACTTTGCGGCCACGACCTATTTGCGACCATCAACTTCATCGATTAATTTAATAAGGAAAAAATTAAAGAACCGCGATGATATTTCTCACACGTTATCGTTCACTTATCCCCCGTAGTTCTGCGAAATTACACTAAAAAAAACGGACCATTTTTCCATGTCGCCAACTACCCATTGTTCCTTTAAAAAAGCTTGAAAATCCGATAAAGAAATGAAACTTGGCAGGTGGGTGGAGTTGTGTTTCTTTTAACCATCTTTAAAGTTTCGCGTTTCTACATTTAAAGGAGGGGGAATAAAGGGATGCACATTTCCAAGACGTCGATAATATCTTTGTCGACCAATTTGCGACCACCGTGTTTTTGTCTGTTTGATTGCTGTGATGCAGTGTTTGGTTTATAATTTGACGAGTTTTGTTCAAAATATCCGTGTTCTTAAAATATATGACAGTCAGAAATGCAATTAGAAGCTTTTTTTTTCACGCATGGCTGCGTATGCCCTAGTCTCGACGCAGCAGAAACGATGTTCAAGGCCTGAAATGCGTGGTCGCACACTGGTCGTTCGGTCGCAAATACGTCTTCAGAGTGTCGTACTTTGGTGGTTTATATAGCTTTAACCCCTGGTCGTGAAAGTTAATTCGAGGTTTAGCGTGTTGTGTAGAATAAATGCCAATGCGCCTACGGTGAAAAAATTAACGGGTTAGAAATATTGGTTTTTGTTTTATAGCGGTTTGAATGAAATCGTCCGCGGACTGGCTTTACCACCCTACTGCAGTACCGGTACGGTACCGGTATTCATCCCAGCGAAAAGGCGACTTAATTATACAGTTATATGGCGAGCCACGGCCTCTCGTCCAGTTACGGTACCGTACCAGTCCATGTCGGGTACCGGTACCGTACCTATGGAATGTGGGGTACCGGTATGAGCCAGTTACGTACGGTACGGTACAGTACACAGTATGGTACCGGAATTTTTTTCGTAAGCATGGAATGGAAACATGGTTTTGTGGCAATGTAAGATAATTTATTTTAAGCTGGGTTATCTGGTATTGATACAAAAAAGATGAAAAAGAGCATACGGGTACGGTATACACCAGCACCGCAGCACACATGAATGACTGACCGACTACGGTACAGGACTACGGTACCGGTAACTGAAGTCGAGACGTCAGATTCAAGACTTCATAACTTCTGTATCTAACTTAGTCTATATCCCTGAAATATAAAGCCTAGTTGGGTTTACTCACTCCTTAAAACAAATCCTGAACACTTCATGCTATAACTGCATGCCATTCCCAACTCATAAACAATTCAAAATAAACACTTAATCTGAGAAGCAAATCTGCGAATCCGACCTTGATTAAAAAATTCAAAAGTGCCGCCTCAACATCACAACAAAGCGAAAAGGGATAGTTGCCAGATAGTTATATGTCGCGCACGATTAATTACGCTGCGCGTGAAACATTGTACTGGTATGGACCTTTCCCCGACATCAAAACATCCGTATTTTCAACCAATCACAAGCGAGCAGATGTAAACAAACATTCCCCGCTGAAAAGTCGCTCAGACAACTTTGGGCGCGTTCCGCACAGGTTGCTGGCGGTTTAGGCAGATCTTTGTGCTTTCTTTCGCTTTTTGTTTTCTTCACAAGGCTGCGAGAATTAGAAAGCGGTAATACTGTATGTTTCTTGTTGCAAATCACGTTCACGAAATCTATATATCTATACTAAAAGGCTGTACCCGTTGCAGGCACCTTACAGGTACGGTACTGTACAGGTCGCAACTGCTATTTCGAACCAAAAAATAGTAGACAGTCATGCTTATGCAATCAAGGGTATCGGTAGCCTACCGTATGTCAGTACGGGAGAATTTGTCTTTGATACGATGTTGCATTTTTATTAAACAGAATCTATTAGTGAATTATTTTGGTAGACCAGCTATGTGTAAACGCTGCGCATATGGTATTTGCCGGTCTGAAAACCTGTACGGTACCACTGCCGTTCAAATGAAGTACGGTAAGATTTGTGCCTTTTCCAAAGCCACATATTGACTGCCAAAAAGCAATGAGATGGATAAAGGAATGCAACAGGCCTCACAGTATATTCAATCTAGGAAAAATCACCAGAAATACCTTTGTGTATACCAAGGTAGGCCAACATAAATATTGTTTTCGATACCTATGATATATTCAGTATGTTAATTCTTATATGAAATAAATTTTCATACAAGCAATGCGTTCCATCATGCATTTTCATGGAGGCGATGGACCAACTGATGAATACCCTGACCCTATATCAGATTCTTGTCGCCCAACAGAGAAGCATCATCAAATTGTAAGGTAATGATTACTTATACCATAATTTAACTTTGGATCATAATTTAACAGGATCTGTCACCAGATACTTCATTTGATACAAAGACATGCGAATCTGACGAAAGTGAGAAAGGATTGTCAGGGATCCAACCAGATCTGCCCCCAGACTTTACTTGAAACTACCTCAAGTGCCGCTGATGAAAAAGACAGCGCTTTGTCAGACAGCAGAAAAATGTAAGCAAGCATCATCATTTTATTTTGGTTCTCTGGCATAAAACAACACAAAAAGTCAACATACAAACAAAATGCAGAGAAAAGTGGAAGTCGAGCATAACTTAAAATAGATTTCAAAAAGTACGCGACTACCTACCAGAAAAAGAAATAATAATAATAAAAGGTCACGAAAGAATTAACAAGATTCAGAATCGAAACTGCAACTGCAAAGCCACACCAAGCTGCTCCAGATACCAGAAGTTGGCCCTGCACTTGGTAGTAACTGTGGTGTGTGATAAATATCCTTATTTTGTTAGGTTGTTTTGCATTTATTACTGTCATATAAATCACAAATTGTTCATAATCACCTGATAATTTTAGAACCGAACCAAGTGGTGGGTGTTTGCCCATCTGACTATATAACAATGAGGTAGTGCCCAGTGAGAGCAACTCTTCCATATTATCAGGAGATGAAACCAGGCAGCTTTAATAAAATAACTCAGACGCTCCATTGCTTTCGTGGTTTTTGTTTGTTATGCCCAAAAGCATATATCTGGTGTGTATTTTTATCCTATACGGCACAATATCTGCAAAACTGTATAATTTTTTGTAGTAATTTTCTTGAATTTACTTGCTTGTTCCTTCATCATATATTTTTTATAATCTGTTATATTCTATTTCTACACTGAATGAATAAACTATATTGTATAACCTATCAGATACCCGACTGTTTTTGGTTTAACCGGCATGATTGGAACTCTGGCTCGATCTAACTTCGTGGGATTAGCACCAACTACAGACGACAAAACTGTTGGATCTATTTTGTTCCCTCCATATAGGTTGTTACCAATGCTGGGGAAGGCTTGTACATACTTGGCTCAGCGGAAAATCTTTTATTCCGCTTAATTTAATATGTTGGATAGTCTTGGTTAGTTCATTTAAACCATGTTAATCACTATAACATTATTGGTCTTGTAATTTTATGTGGTATGTAATCGATCATAATACTTCAATAAACCTGTTGAATCTAATCTTTCAATAGTATATTTGCACCCATCTTACTGAGCTAATAAATCTGTGTTTCTATGATACGACATAAACTTAAGTAGCCTCACCGTGCCTAGCATGTACAAATTGCATCAGAGACTTGGTGACTATTCGGCGACACCCCTATTTGAAGATGATGTGGTGGCAGACTGGCAGAGACTCCTGAACTTATCTGTAGCACTTGGCTTTGAAATTGACGACTGAACCATCATGAATGTATCTGAAAAAAATATTCACCTGTTCAAAATACAGATTTCTGTAGTTTGTGCAATGTTTCCAAGAATGTATTTAAAAGACTTTAAACTTCCCCTCAATCCCCTGCATTTCATTTGTTTCTATACTAAACCCACCAATTCAGCCCTAACTTGGACGCTATCTATCAGTCTATGAACTATAGGATATGATAACGGTAAGTTTAAATATTACCTTTCAATGAAAAGTATTGTATCCTTCTCCTGCTGGGCGAAAGAAAAGTTCTTGGAGAACCAAGTAATTTCATTTTTGTATGGTAAATAAGCTTTTAGAACTAAGTTAGGTACTGAATAGTGCATGATTGCCACCAGGTAACTAAGTTAACTATCAACTAAGTTAAGTACGTTAACGGCAATGTGAAGACGGAATAACGTTAATAATAGATCACTTGACAATATGTTGTAACGTTAGAAGCACGAAAATACCGCCATCACCAGTGAAATGCCATTCGAAGGCCTATAAAACGAGCAACGTACCACTCTATCGCCCTACACAAGCCTGAATATTTGCAATGTTTGTCTGAGCGACCAAAATCAAAACAATAAAGGTCAAAGGTCGGGGAAAGGTCCATAATTGAACAAAAATATATGCCTGTATATTATATATATAATATATTATATTTAATATTGAAAAAAATGTCAATTGATTAAACAGACATACAATAATTTCCTAATTGACGAATGGCGAAAAACTATCGAGTCCTCGTCCATCCGCTGATATTGTACCTGTTCAATATAATCACTAGTACCATAACAATCTCTATTAATTAAGTTGGATATTTCGCAAAATTTATATAGTCACCAATAATAACAGCAGTTTCGAAAATCTAAAATTCCTAATTTTCCTTATCACGTATTAGAACTAGGGATGAGCCGGGATTCGAATCCGGACTCGGATAATATAACGTAAGTTAAAAACTATTGATCGCTTATAAGAATGATGTTGCGCCAGTCGCCTTCAAACTATCTATCGTTTCCGGTATACACAATAAAATATGTGTTAGCGCAATATTTTTGAGTTTTTGATTCGCGTAAAAATGAAACATGCCCTGGATCAACCCAATGGGGAATCTCATCAATACTTCTTTTAATTTTAAATCGAGTTTATTACGGGCAATCCTTTCGCTAAAAAGGCAGTGGGAAGCATGGAGACTTTTAGAACGTTTACATGAACTACTAAATTGCAAGCAGATGTACCACAATGTATTGACGACGAGTGTCATTTCTCTACCATATGCGCACGTGACATAGTAAATTTCCGGCTAGAAATATCTGGAATTATGGGAAAACATTGTAGTCAAAAGCTTTTTATTTTTCTTATGAACATGTAAGAATATCTGAATAGCCGATCAGAATTGACGCAAGGTGGTGGGCTAGAAATCCAGTTCACAGCCAAGGCGCACATTAACCCACGTTTACGTTTGTATTATGGCCGCCAAAAAGAGGGAAATATATTTTTAAAATGATTCAACAGCTATCTGCGAAACCATTAGGCAAAAAATATGAGCTACGACGTATATTTGTGAGCGCACGATGCTGTAGCATGGTCAAAAACGTGTTTTCTGCTTTTCTGTTATGACGTCACGGTTCGGCAGATTCGATTCGAGTCCTTGACCTATTACTCGGATTCGTCGAATCTCTGTAATGCCGGACTCGTCCCATCCCTAATTCGAACAGGAGTGGGCAACTTCTCTAGTCGGCGGGCCAGATGTGGGGAAATGAGGTCCTCGGCGGGCCGGATTATTTCAAAAAATACTTTGGTATCCAATCTTTGTTAAATGCTCGACACTCTCTGTCAACATTACGTTTCTTAGGATTTTCCATGGTTAATAAAACTTTATTTATAATCTAATTTCTAAAATCTATTTATATTTAGAATCTAAATATAACTGATATAATCTGAATATAACTGAACAGTAGTGGGGAATGTTTACAGCGCTCTCTGCTTTGACCTTATATTGTTTGTTCAACAAGTGTTCTAACGCAATTGTTTGTCCACTAAGACAATTGTTTATTTCCCCAGCTCGCACTGACAGTGTTTAGGGACTTGACTCGCCACCACCGTGTTTAGGGACTTCAGAAGCGGATGACGAACAAAGGTCCAATAATAGGATATACATTTTTTTTTCCAATACGTCGTGTTGAATAAAGTTAAAGATAGTGCGATGAATTAGGAAAGAGATGAATAAATAAGTCATAGCAATAAACAGTTAACAAGGAGAAAATAATATCTTACTTAACGTGTAAGCAAGCATGTGTCCCTCTATAGTCTATAACATTCAAATAATCCACAAATATTTTGTCTGTACGTTTTAAACTTACTCAAAGTTTTTATTTGGCTCGTACATCCTTTAATTATAATTTTGTTGTTTCGTATTTGCAAGTCTTTGGATACTCAATTAATAGTTGAACTCGTGGTATTCAGATTCATCAGACATATTATGGCAACTGCCCCTGATAATCCTCAAAGTTCGTATTGTTGCCTCACAGCCACATAGCAAAAACATTTTTATTTAAAATGTATATACTGTAGGCCTACATATGCATATTTTTTGCT